CAGGGGCAGAGATGCGGCCCTCAAGGAGAGGGTCGCAGTTGCTGTAGAGCGTGACCATGACGATGCCACAGCCAGCAGCACTGCCCACGATCAGGAACAGGCCCAGCTGGTTGATAAGCAGGGCCCTGGGGGGCGGGGGAGTGTCAGCTGGAGGGAGTAGGGACAGCTACCCCCTAGAAGGCCCCCACCCCACTCCTCCCGAACACTCACAGCTTGGCCTGCCTCTCTGTGCGGCAGGCCACGTAGCGCTGCACCTGCGCCTGATTCACACCGTACATGGAGAGCCACACCAACGTGCCCCCCACCACAAATGTCCAGAATGTGTATCGTCTCCGAGGGTCGGGGTTGAAGCTGGAGAGGCAGGGGGACAAGTCAGTCGTTGAGGATCACTCCCACAGAGCTCACCCTCCTGTGCATCCCAGTGGCCCTGCTAGGCAGGCTTTATGGGCCTTCAGGGTGGGTTTTGAAGCGTGGGTAGGAGTTTGCCGGCTTGCAAATTCACTTATTTGTTCAAGAGTCACTCTTCTATGCATTCCAAACCACTCTTTTTGTGTCCAGCTGGGACCTCAGAGAGTCCTTAGCCTCCAGTCTGGGCAGGGAGGGGAGGGGAGCAGAGCTGGTGGCCTTAAGGCTGGGGGAGCTTAAAGGGGAAGTCATGCTTCTGTCTGGGGCACGAAGGAATGCCAGCCCAACCCTGTGCACTGTTGGTTCCACACCCTCACTCACTCCAGCAGATTGATCCGGGAGTGGTTCTGGGCCAACTCCATCACTCGCTGGGGCCCGCCCACGATCACCGTGCCCCGGCCCAGAATCACCCAGAAGCCCAGCAGCATTACTAGAACCTGAAACACGTCGGTCCAGACCACGGCCTTCATGCCGCCCTGCGAAAAAGGGCAGAGACAGGGAGACGGCCAGATGAGGCAGCCCGCTAAGGCCGGCCAGGTCTCTCTGCCTCAGTTTCCTCATCTGTAAACAGAGCTAATCACGGTTTCTCATAGAGAGCGGTACTGTGAGGATTAAGTCATTTTGTACGTGGAGAAACACCTGGCAAGTGATGTTTTTTTGTAAGTGATGCGTTGTCATTGCTGGTGTTACTATGATTCATACTGTGTTTTACTATTATTATTCTTAGCGGTTGTTTCTGTCCATCCACACCCCCTGCCTTGGCTTTCTGAAGGAAAGCCAAAAAAACTGTTTCCCCCGTGTTAATTCCAACTCTTGAAAGCCTGTCAGAGCAGAACCTAGAATAGGGTCTTCAAGCCTGTGGTGTTTCATTAGATCGCCAGACATTTCTTCCGAGGAACCGCTGGGTGGCTTCAAGCTGTCAGCCTTTCTGATAACAGGAATGCGCTTAGCCTTTTTTTTTTTTTGCCACCCCTGCACTCCCTTCCCAAGGTAGCCCCTGGGTTATTTTAAGAAGTATTTCTACTAGCACGGCAGACCGTCCTTTAGAGTGAGGGGCTGGTCCTGGCTGCAGAAATGGCCAATCAGAGCATCCCAGCCCTGAACACGAGACTGGAGCCAATCAGAGTTCTCCCTGGGTCTTTAAGTGGGGGGGACCCATCCTGAAACCTGAGCTCACTTTCTCACCAGCCAGGGGTGGGGGGACCCTGAAGCTGAGGGCACCCCAGTGGGGGGCAAAGGAGTCCGAGGAGCCCCTGGGTCCAGTCATGCCTGGAGCCAGCATATCCCTGACTTCAGCAATAACACAGTGCCACAGAGAAGGCTCCCCCAATCACATCTCATTATACGGATGAGGAAATGAGGCCCAGTTGGGACATGGGCTTCCTTGGGTAGCAGGAGATCTGGGTTAGGGTTCTCCTCCCACCCAGAGACACCCACCCCCACCCCATCCTGGAGTGCCTCTGTAAGGGCTGGGGTGTGCTCACTCACTACAGTCGTGTAAATGGTGCAGATGATTCCAGTGGACAGGAGCGACGCCCAGATGTGCAGCCCCGTCACTGTGCGGGGAGACGCCCTGTTAGGCGAGAAGCCTCCCACCTTGCCCACTCCCCTGTCAAGTCCCGCCGCTCAGCCTGCAGGCACCCCAGACACCCCCTCGTCATCTCCCAGAACCAAACCTTGGTTAAGGATGAGTGCGGGCGCATAGATCACGATGCCAGTGTACAGTATCTGTAGGTCAGGGGGCGGCACGAGTGAGGCTGGTTAGGGTCCCTGCGCGCAGGGATAGGAAGGCGCCGGGCAGATGGGTAGGGCCTGCGGGGAGGGGCGGGACTGGACTGGTGGGGTGGGAGGCGGGACCTGCAAGGACGGACTGTGGGCGAGGCCAACGGCAAAGGCAGGTCTGTGCAGCATAGGGGTGGGTCTACGGGCTGTGGTCGGGACTGGCGGAGGTGGGTGGGGTTGGCGGAGGTGGGCGGGGTCGGCGGAGGTGGGCAAGGGCGAGGACCCGGTCAAGGCTACTCACTGTGGCCACTAGGTACTGGACCGTCCCGCAAAGCCGGACTGCACGGCTGAAGCGCAGCTCCAGGTACTACAAGAAGGAGCCAAGGGCTCGTGGTCACCTCGACGGGCACTTCTCAGGGGCCAGAGGCCTCTCGGAAACCCGGTCGTCTCTGCCCTCTGGAAGTTGTTGCCTGTGGTGGCCGCCGGCACACGCGCACACACCGCCCTGTCCGCACACACCTGAGCACTGCGCTAGGCACGCACCTGTGCCCCGGGCGTCGGCGCAGAAGGACCGGCCACCCGCGCGCACATCCCAGCCATCGGGACTTGCCCGGACGCCGCCGCCCGGTGCACACGACCGAGTCCCCTGGCGCTCCCTACGGACAGTGCCCGCGGCCCTCAGCGACTGGGGACCTGTCACAATTGTCATCGTTGTTTCCCTATGCCCGGGAGTGGGGGTGGGGTGGGGAAACCTGTAATTAGCCCCATTTGACATCGCCAGGAGCCCTGTTGGCTTGCGCTGTGATTCAGCACTGGGCTGCTAACCGAGAAGTCCGGTGCGGCTCTGGGGAGGATTTGCAGCCTTGGACACCCATGGGGCAGGTCGACTCTGTCCTAGGGGGTCGTTATGGGCCAGAATTCGACTTGGCGGCAGCAGGTTTGGATTCAGTTGGGGTGTGGTGGTTGGACGGTGAGAGGTATAAAGTCGAGTGTCCCTTCTCTACCGTGGTGGCGGTCTCCCGCCCGGGAGAAGGGGGCGCCGGGGTGTCCCCCGAGGGTGACCTCCTGGCCGCACCTAGCCCCGCCCAACTATCACCTGGAATCAGGCCACCGGCTCCTCTTCCTCCTTCCTGCCCCTCGTCCCGCCGCCTGGGGCCGCTTCCCAGAACTCTCCCACCCGTCTGCTTCCAGCCCCGCCACAAACGCTCCGGGGCCACCCGGCTCCTGAGCGGCGCCTGGAAGCCCCGGGGCCGCGAGGCTGCGCGTTCGCCTCCCGCCTGCGCCCGACTCGCCCGGCCCTACCTGGTAGGTGCTGGTGAGGCCCAGGCGGTAGAAGACGGGCAGGAAGAGCGTGGTGGTGAGCAGCGAGTTGAGCAGCTGGCCCAGGCACATCCACAGGAACTTGAGGCCGTAGCGGGAGGCCTCGGCCGGCACGCCCAGCACCTGCACGGCCGACATGAAGCTCGCGGCCAGCGACAGGCCCACGGGCACAGCCGACAGTTGCCGGCCGCCCGTGAAGAAGTCGTCGGCGCTGCGCTGCCCGCCGCGGGCCAGCCCGACCCCCAGCCCGATGCCCATGGACACCAGCAGCATGAGCGCGAAGACCCCGTAGTCCCAGGCCCCGAAGGTGCCCTGTGCCCCTGCCGCCGCACCCGCCATCAGTGCCAGGGAGCGCCAACCCCCTCTGCACCCCGGGCCCTGCGCGTCCCGCCTGCGGCCGCCGCCGGAGAAACCAACAGCGACTGAGCAGGGACCACCAGCCGCGGCGTGTTGCCCGCCCGGCCGGCCCCCTGGTCCGCGGCTGGGGATGCGGGAAGGACCCGGGCCGGGGCCGCCTTGGGCAAGGGTCTGTGGGTCTGGGCTGCTGCGTCCGCCTGTGTCCTTGTCGCTCCTCTCCGACCGCCGGCCGTCTCTGCCGTCTGTCCGTGCACTCTCTCCCGGTGCAGCCGTCTGTCCGTTGCTACAGTGGTTGGTGGCCTGGGGCTCAAAGGGGGAGCTGGCCACCGCAGGCTGTATTTATTGGCGCCGCGGGGTCAGCGCGGCTCCGCCCCCAGAGTTAGGGACGGGCCGGACCCGCACCCTTTCCTCCCTGGACGGGGCAGACAGGTAACGGCGGGCTTCGCCAGCAGTGGCTGGTGGGGGACCAGGGGACTTCCAAACGTTCCCCAAGGATGCAGTAGGCATGTGGCCGGGCTTTAGGCTGCTTACATCTCTCACGGACAGGTGAGGAAAGAGGCCCAGAGAGGGCAGACTCAAGGTTGCCAGGCGCAGAACCAGAACTCTGGCCCAGGCTCTCCCCCTGTGGCGCTTCCATATATGGAACTAGGGAAACCCATTCATCCTTTCAGGGACGGGAGTGGGGTGTGGTGGTGAGGTTTTATATGAAAAATTCCTCACCTTGAACCTCCCACAACCCATATATGGACCGGCCCCGTCTCTCTTTCCCTCGGCTGTAAGGGAATCTCCAAACCCATCCTCGGTGGGCAAGTAGCACTCGTAGTTCAAGTCCTGTTTCTGGTTACAGACTTAGGGACGTCTATTTCTCTCTGGGCCACATTTCCCCATCTGCAAATAAGGAGAAAATCGCCCCTGCCTCCCTGACTACTAAACAGCAGGTTCATGATTTGAATCTGCTCTGGCGTGCTACAGAGGTAAGGCCTGGCTGTCTGCTTCCTTGAAGATTCCAGACAAGAAATCCCTGTGGAACAGGTCGACTCTGAAGCACATACCCGCCCCAGGAGTGGAAACTGACTTGGTAGAAATGACTTGGTTTTTCCTTGTTGTTTAAGCTCCCTAAGGAATGCATTAGCAAAGCCCTGGTGGCATAATGGTGAAGCGCCGGGTTGGTAATCGCAAGGGCAGCAGTTTGAAACCACCAGCAGCTCCATGAGAGAAAGACGAGGCGCGCTTCTCCCATAAGAGTGACAGTCTCAGAAACCCACAGAGACAGTTCTATCCTGTCCTGCAGGGCTGATTTGAGTTGGCATCCACTGGGTGGGAGTGAGTTTGGGTTTGTTTGGTTTTTAAGGAAACATTAGGATGTTTGACTCAGAGCTGGGTACTAGGAAGCACTCATTCTGTCCTGTTAATTCCTTTGGCAAATATGCCTTAACCAGGCAGGGTAGATGTGGATGGAGGTGTGTGTGTGTGTGTGTGTGTGTGTGTGAGAGAGAGAGAGAGAGAGAGAATGGGGTGTGTGTGTGGGGGGGG